CCGCTCGCCCATCGGTACAACGCATATGTGATGATGTGATCCGGCTGCAAAGGAACCCTGTAGAATGTCACCCGCCGCTGCAGAAGAGGAGACAACGCCTCCACGATCTCCATGAACACCCTGGGGGTCATCCTCAACTTTTCCTTGTGGTACTCGTCCGAGGCGTCGTCCATCTTCCGCAGATCCTCCCACGTGCCACCCGTCCTTCTCCGCATCCACCACCTTGGAGTCGCCCGCGGTATCGCCCCGGATGACATGGCGGCGCAGAACTGGGTAATGGATTCAGACATGGACACGCAGTCGGGCGCCGCCATCACGTGGTGGAGGAGCTCACGCTGCCTGCAGATAGACACTCTCGTCCTCAACCGCGTCGTCGTTTTCTCGATGCGACAACGCATGGCCACCGCCGACACCGCTGCAACCACCGCATTTCTCTCCACCCTGCTCAAGGTCTTGCCACGAACCTCCTGCGACACGTGTTCCATCACGATGCCCCAACGGCGCCTTGTTCAACAACCACAACAGACGGAGGACTGGACCCTCGTCACACACTGTCCCAGCGGACGTTGGAGTGGACCCTCGTACACGAATGGCGGGCGCGTGAAGATATGGCGAGCCACCGGATCGTCGTCATCTGCAGGAAGACGAAGGCGGGACACACACCACTTCACGCGCTCCAACGTCGTCACCTTTCGCGCTGCGCCGGCTGACGATCGGATGAACGAGTCGCCAACAGCGATGGGCGCCGCAAATCATCCGCGCACACGTTTCGCACACTGGTAGCTCCAGGGGTGGTGACGCCACGGCGCGCCTTTACCTCGGCTGACGGTTTGAAATTCGAATTTCGAAAAGGAACCTTCGCGCCTCTTTTCGCAGCGCAGCATCGCGGGCCTCCTTGCGCCGCCAGTGGACCACGCCCGACGACGGACGGACATCCCTCGATGACGACGGACATCCTCTCCCGCGGCCTCGCATTTGCGTATGAAATTGGCCGCGGGATACCTCCAAGGTTTTTCCTTGGGACCCTTTCGTTTAGGACGCGGTGTAACGCCGCCGCCGAATTCCTTGAAATTTCCCAAGGACTTCGTCCTAATTCCTGAGGATTTTTCAAGGAGGGTCTAACGAGGCCCTAACTCGTTTTGGTGACTCTACTGAAGTTGCCCCCCTCCCTCCCCCCCCCTCAAAGAAAACAGGTAAAAGCCTGCCGTTCCGGAGTTTGAGGTCTATGCTGTACTCAACTGAGGGTCGAGGCTATTGGTAGAGAGCACCACCTGCTGGCAATCCCCACATACTTTTTTTTTCTTTTTCTTTTTTCTTTGTTTTTTCTCTTTTTTAAATCTCATTCCATAACCCCTATCTCAGGGCCCTCCTTTCCACCAACGAGCCTAACTACACCCATGAACTGTTCGAAAATGCAGGCCTGAGTTCAAATCGAGATAGAACTACATGAATGACTGTCATATGTCTAGCATCCAAAACCTCTAAAACAAACAAACAAACAAAAAAA